CCCCAAAACCCCAAAACCCCAAAACCCCATTAAGCTGAGATTTCTTAGAATTGTGTGAATTAGAAATGATATCATTCAAAGTATCATACTTATCATTTATAATTAACATTCCTATTAAATAAATTATCATCAGTAAATGAAAGTAGCAAGTAAGCCAAAACTTTCTTCTTAGCTGTAACTTACTTTCTTTAGATTCCGGGTCTTTTATCTCAGAAAAAAAATATTACAGCAAAAAGTATCTAAACGATGAATGCAACTCAAGAGAGTTCCTCAACAGTATTTCCTATACTGTAGCTCTCAATGGTAAGATCATATAAATAATAACTGCTTATAGAACTACTTCAGATCAGAAAAACACTTTGTTATTAAGAAAAAGCACCTTATACGCCAGTTATGTTTGAAATCATGGTCTAGAGACTGAAGGACTACTACAGAGGGAACTTCTTGCTTCAACTTTGGAGTATCGAAGGCAAAAAGCACTATGAAAAAGTGTTTAAATGTAATTTTGTGTCTAATCATTCTTGGATGCTGATGAAAATATAGTTGATATTGTCAGTTGGAATATTCAAAGAGACTATCTTATCTTCATGTAAGATCCTAGAGAAGAGCCATAGCAATGGATATACATCGTATGCTTTAAGAAAGAATTCTCTGTAATAAAAGTTAAAAATTTTGTAACTGACCCATCTTGTAAGCAAAAATTTCTATCATGGTCTATCATTTAATCATTAATATTTTATTGCACATTATCATAAGAATCTCATCTAATCTATCTATTAGTTACTTATATTGGTATCAGCTAACAACTACTGCACCTTGCAAATTAGCGCACTATTAAGATTGTAGACGTTCAGAGAGACTTTGGTTCGGAAAAGGAGATCAAGATTGAGCCAAAATCTGACCAGATTGTAACATTTGAAATTACAGGTGGCTGCAAACTGCATGGTTTCTTCGAGAATAGATTCTCGTGTGATGATACCTACATTATGTGCTACATTGAAACTTTAGACAATTAGATTGACTACTCAAGGCTATACAACTGGGAAAGAAGTAATATTGTAAACCCAGCTGTTGAGTTCTATCAGTACAGAGAGGTTGTAAAAAGGGATCTTAGCGGAGATCCTATTCAGAAGATCACACAAATTATTAAATCTGACGATTTCTAATATGGATTAGCATTGAGAAGCTCAGGAAAGGTTGATATCTATTGGAACTACACTCTAACACAAACTCCTGATGGTAAGATTTCAACTAATTAACAAATCAAATAGAGTATTATATGGATATAGACTCTAACTTTACAAGTTTGTTCATGAAGCAGAACAAACAGGATGGAATGAAAATGATATCTTTAGATGTAAAGTGGGATTCTAGAATAGGTGTGGACATTGCGAATGAATCATCATATACAGATAAACTCTGGGCTAAAATTTCAGAACAGCAAATAAAGCAATATCTTAAACTTTATGGAGCCTTTACACTTATCAATACTACCTTCCTAGTAGCATATAACAATATAGTGTCTACCTTTGATGTCATTAAGAAGTTGTGGCTTGATCATTATATTCAAGATGAGACAATAGTTGACCTCCTTAGAAATTAAAGAGATGCGACTTCAGATGATTATATAGTAGGAGTTCTTTTACAAAGTGGCAAAATAGTACCATTAGAATCGACAAATATCGATGGTATCAATATTTGGAAATAAAGTGATGTTGGAATCCTTAATGTTGGGAAAGGAATTAAAAAAATAGTATCAGATTGGAGAGATATCTCATCACATTATATTTAAACCGAAAACGATGGCAATGTAAAGGTAATGGGGTATCAAAATTGTACAATCAGAGAACTTACAGGAGATGTAAAAGTGGAACCGTATGAATATATGGCTAGATTTCTCTCGTTAGATCCAACTGAGGATATTGCAATGCTAAATACATATGAAGGAAAGATAAGAGTGTTCAAAAATGAAACTAATCATGCTAATGAATGCAAGGTAACACCATCAATAGAAATTAAAATTGAAGCTGCTTACTAAATTTAAAAAAGAGTACATACCATCGTATTGAACAAGGCAAGAGAATTTCTTTTCCTCTTTGATGAAGAGAATGTTTATATCGTCAATAGAAAAGATGGATAAATGACTGTAGTTAAGGATATGAATATCACAAGTTTATAATTGATCGATGGTAATTTTATCTACTCTATGACAAATGATTGCCCAACTAAGAATTTAACATCAGGATTTTACTTCTATGACTTAAATTAGCTGATTGAAAAAGCTGAGGAAAGTTTTAACTTTAAGCTAAAGGGAGCTCTTGTTGGTCATAACAATCTAATTGATTATTATAGATAAGATGAAAGAATAGCTTATATGACTGACTATGAAGAGATAAAAATAGTACCTATTTTACATAGAAACACTATCAATTTATTCGTAATGTAAAAGAGGAAAAATTACGTAGGTTACTCAAGAGTTAAGGATAAGCTAATTGCATTGGATAAAAATAACGTCCTTACTACATGGAATATCACTACAGGAAAAGTAGTTGGCTAAACCAAGCTGAAGAGTCAAGTTGTATCTCCAGAGTACAAAATATTCAAATGCGATGAGAGTGATATTATCTACTAATCAGGATGGTATTAGCCTTATGTACTTCTAATTAATCTTAGCGAAGTAGTATAGAATGTAGATGAAAAAGCATTTTTTGGTGATAGATTCTATACATCTTTACCAAATAACACTACTGTCTCCTCAGTTGAGCCAAAAGATTTTAGATCATTCAAAATTATACAAATTGTTAGTGAAACCGAAGTAGCAGAAAAGATGACATTTGTCCATCCTTAATATAAATATGGAAGTTACCAAAGAATATACTTCAGTGAAGATCTTTAATATATGCTTGAACGTCTTGATAATCAAAGAGTTTTACTCTATAAGCAAATTTAAACTGGCACACCGGGCTTAGTATCTTGGAGTTTAATTAGAAGACTTAAATAGTTTCCTATGGATCTTGCACAAACTACCTATGCTAACTATCTATTCTCACCTGATCTATAATACTATCTTGATTTCGATAAATCTGAGAATGTTTTTCTTATTAGAAGATCCTTAGATCAAACTACTAAATGTCAAATACCTAAAGGTATCATGAATCCTTAAACAGAAGAACCAATAAAAATTGGTAAAAGATTCAGATGGGTAAACAGTAATGTCATTAAGATTATTAATTCTGAAGGGATAGAAAAGATTATAAATATTGAAAATGGATTTAAGGACATAAATCAAGATACAGTTCCTATGATTGAATTAAAGGATTTTGAGAATGAAAATTATCACTACTATTTTGAGCCGGTAAATATTCCTGTTTAAGACACAGAAAAAAGGCTAATTAGGAAATTTCAAGCTTACAATTCCGCTGTTTATCTTGATTAAATAGTAGATAAAGAGCAATTATATGAAACAATCTTTTAAGTAGACTTTACCTCAGATAATTATAGAGAAAGAGTAGTAGTTGATATGAGCTTTACTTTTATTCATTGGAAACTTGCAGAGCTATTAGCAAATCCTTTACTTAAACTGAAGCTCAAAAGATTTGGTCTCTAAGATATTAGATAAACTACTTTGAACATATTCCCTAAAGGAAACACTGTTCTGCATTATTCCTATAAATAACTGAATAACATCAGAAAATTATTTGATATCATAAGCACCTATAATGATACTTTAGAAGAAGGAGCTGTAAAGCATGAAATTCCATTTATTCAAAACTTTAAAGGTGTATCCCCACTTCATCTTTGTATTTATGATAATAACTATAAATCGGCTGAGATCTTTCTTCAAAAACTTTCTAATACCCCTCTTGATAGTCATTCGAGAGCTATAGTTGACATTTTACACAAGTTTGTCGAAAATGGAATACCTTCACTAGGTTCTTATCTTGATAATAGAATGATTTAAACCTAATAGCTAATCAATAGAGGTTAAAGAAGAGGAGCTATACTCTACAAGGATGATTTAGAATATGCAGTTTCATCATGTGAATTATGGCCAGATATTGATAATGTTGATAAGTTACTTTTTTCAAATGATCCAAGAGAATCTGAGGTCAAGTTAGAATTCCTTGATATGCCAAAAATTCATAGTTATAATGAAGTATCAGGTGATGAATTCTTCAAAGCCTTAGCTGATTCTAATGACATTGAACTCTTTTCTTACAGAAGTATTCAATCCGTAATTGATTACAAATGGCCCTTAGCAAGAGAATATACGATAAAAGTACTATTTATTCCATTCATTTTCTATCAACTTACTTTTCTTATCTATTCAAATGTTTTTTGTGGTTAATTCTAATTCGGTGAGGATAAGTATTCAGATTCATGGTGGATTGGTCATAATGTATTAGCTGCATTACTCTACCTATTTTCAATTTATTTCCTTAGCAATGAAATAAGGCAATTCTATGTAACAGGAATAGACTATTTATCTTCTGTTTGGAATTACTCAGATATACTTCCACCTATACTCATCATTGTCGTTGTGTCTCTTAAGTTGAATACTTATTACAATGAAGATTATGAGCCAAATAATTTTATCTACACAGTCCATAGTGTTGCTACACTTCTTATGTGGATTAAACTGCTCTATTTCCTTAGAATTTTCAGATCGACTGGGTATCTGGTAAGAACTTTAACAGATGTGATCTACGACATGAAGGTGTTCTTACTAATCTTGTTTATTGTTTATTTCGGTTTCGGAGAAGCTTTCTTAAGACTCTCAGAGAAATCAGACCCTGAAATGCAATTCATTTAAAACTACGCTTACTGCTGGGTCTATGCCTTTAGGCTTAGTATTGGTGATAATGCTACAGACACATTTGATGACACCATTCAACCAGTAACACTTTGGATTATTTGGGTTATTGCTGGTATCTTGACTAATATCGTTATGCTAAACTTACTCATCTCTATCATTTCTGAGTCTTTTGCAAAGATTAATGAGAAGAGCAAGGAGGCTAATTACTAGGAAAGAGCAAGAATTATTTCAGAAAATGGATATTTAATTCCTAGATACATCAAGAACAGCCAAGATGACTTTGATAAGTACATCATAGTTGCAAATGAAGTCATTGACACTCAAGATGAAGAGAAAAATGCTCTTAAAACCCAGGTTAAGGCTTTGGACGATAAAATCAACGAATTCGTAAGTATATTCCTGATATTATTATTTTGTTTAGAAAGATCAAATGACTAAGCAATAGGATAGTTTAGAGGCCAAGCTTAATTCATTGCTCGAATGATTTCACTATCAGTTTAAACAAATATTTAATAAAAATCATTTATATTCATAAAATAGTTTTCATATGTTTAAAATACTTCTTTTGGGGTTTTGGGGTTTTGGGGTTTTGGGG